GATTAAACAGATAAATTCATTTCCAAAGAATATTTATGCCACCTAGCCACACAGCAGCATGAAGACAATATCTTTAGGAATGAATGTTTAATTATAGCTTATCCCAAAGTAGTAACTTCCTGTGAAATTTGCATAATTGCCCCTTGTTTCTTTCATAAAGCAAGATTATAAATCCGTGGCCTCCAAAAACCTATGCCTTTCAATTACAGATGAACAAATCTCCTCTAGGACTGATCATCCCTTTCTTTTGTCATGGTTTGAATGGTTGCTTGGAAAGGGTCACTCACAATTTTCCAATTGTGTGTTTTAAAAATGTTTCCAAATTATTACTTGTAAACAAGTCTGAGTGGTGTGTGAGATATAGAACCCTCCAAAAGTTCATTTTTCAAGTGTAAATTGCAATCCTTCATTCAGAAACTTTTTCAGAGCTATCCCTAACCCTCCTTCTTTTTTTCCCTGGATTGTAAAGGCAGTTGCTAACATGAATTTAAAATTCAATATGAATGGCTGTGAAAGAAAAAAAAAAAAAAAGACATGCTCATTGGAACCAGCTCTGGTCTTAATCTGGATTTAGGGGCTTAATTGAATAGAAGTACATTATGCTTGAACAACTGAAGTTTCTATTATTTTGAAATCTTTTTTTTTTTTTTTTTTAACAGAAAACACCGCCAATAGCACTTTGAATATTTTATTACACATTTTCTGGTTTTTGTTAGTATTGGGAAGTCTTACAGTTGATTTAAAATATAGTTATCTGTGGAATTATTCATGTGAGCGTTTACACGTAACAGGTCTTGTGATATTGTGATGTGGTGAGATCATTTATTTTCTTAGAGACATCAGAGACCAGGACTCCAAGTGACCTTAGACTGGTCTTTAAACCTCTTCCAGGCCTTAGTTTTTTCTTTGTAAAAAAAATTAGAGCAATAATCTGATTTCTAGTCTTTAAACAATCACCTTCTACAGATCCCCCTTAACAGACACTATTTCTCGATTAGTGCAGAACTTGGGATAAAACCCATATACCTTGATCCTTTCCTCCTCCCAATAATCCTAGTTGCCAATCATCATATAATTATAAGATTGTGTATTTATTAACATTGGTCATTGCTATCACTATTTTCACCTACTAGCCTTTTAAAAATTATGCCAAGGGAAAATTGTTGAATTGGAAAACTGTAGTTAGAGAATTCTGACATGCCCAATTGAAATGCATTGGTTCACAGCAGTGAAACTTAGAGGTAAATTGTCCAGATCTGCTCACTTTTAGCCTAGGAAGCAATTGGGAAAGGTGAATCTTACTACAATTGTATCTTTGATTGTTGGGTTGTTTTTATTTTCATCATGCCATTCTCTAGGCTGCTCCTATATATCCTGAAAGGCCGTCCAACCAAAAACAGAATTTAATTGATTTATTCAGTAAATATTTCTTAAGCAGCTTTGTATGCCATGTAATAAGCTAAGTACTGAGGATACAGATGTAAGGGAAAGAATGACCTCTGCCCTGGTGTAGCTCATTATGGCACAGTGCCCAGCGTAGTGTAGACAATAATAAGTGCTTATTGAATAAAGGAAAGCATGTGTGTACAGATGGACACATGAAAGAAATATATCCTTAATGAATTTATGGTCTTTATTAAGCAGATAAATTACAACATTTTAGTTCAGTTAATTTTAGAAGTAGTTTATTGAACACCTTCTATGTTCCAAGCATGAGGTTTAGCCCTGGTAATTTCTGTTAAGAAAACACAATACTAGAAAAGATTAATGTAGTAAAGAGAGAGCTGTTTTATGGTTTGTACTATTAAATACTTCTCAATAGACATAAATTCCAAGTGCTGTATATGCTGAAAGGCTGGCTAGTCTATGCTTTGCTTAGTGCACATTTGATCTTGACCTTGGAGTTGTTACAGGAGTGGTACATAATGAAGTTATAATCTTTGAACAACAGCAACAACACCAAAAAAAAAAAAAAAAAAAAAACAACAAAAAACAAAAAACAAAAAAAACTGGGACTTCAGATGCTCTTCATATGCTGCATAAAGTTCTCCCATAGCTCAGGATATTGTGTCAAAAGAAAAAAAGAGATATCAATTTTTAGTTACTGTACAGATGATGATAGTGATGATGGTGAAGATGACAATTGTCTTTACTACTTGCCTTTCTAAATAAAAAATTCTGACCTGAATGATTGAATCACTGATTACCTGATTACATTTTCCCAGTAGACCTTTGAACTAGGCACTATTTCCTCCATTTTACAGAAGAAGAAACAAGTTTAGAAGAATGAGATAAACTTGTTCAAGTCCCAAATGTGGCAAATGATAGAAGTGAGATTCGAAGTCAAGTTTTCCTTACGCCTCAGTCTCCTCTCCACCGTGGCATTGCTATTACCCTATACTAGTGGCCAAAGCACTCCTGCTCCTTAGGCCTGCTAGAGGCAAATTTTGACCTTCTGCAGTTCCTTAGGGGAAGACTATACATGAGCATCAATTGCAGCCTACTACAAGTACAGCTTTCAGGGCTGCAATCCATCCAAGAGAATTTGGTTAAGCTCTTGTCCTAAGTCTAGAAATACCACATTTTTATGGAAATAGCTGCAGCCATTTTAGAACCTTCTAATAGTCTATCAAACAGAAGTGCTTCTTAAAACTAAATGGGTGTACATGTGTGTGTAATGTCACCACAAGAATAGATGGCAAAGGTGATAATGAATGAACCCTGAGTAGACAGAATTTGCAAAGCAACCTGTTTAGAGAATGACACCTGCTTGTCATTATCATGGCAAGAAGTATGAGAGCTTCTAGATCTGAACAAGAACATAGGGGACACATAATTTTCTTACTCTCCCAGAAGGCAAATTCATACAGGGAGGGATGGATAAGGAAAAGCAGCTGCAAGCAGACTGGGATTAGGTGTCTGATCCCAACTTTGACAACTGTAAAAACATATCTCCTCACTGATGTCATTCCTGGGAAGGCTGACATAATGCTTTGAGGTTTGCAGAAAGCACAGTCTCTTCAGAATTCTGGAGTGGCCATTTCTTGTTTTTATACTGGTTGGAAATTGCCTTACAGTTTGTTTACATTTGTAACCTTATTCACAGATTGGCCTGTATTCGAAGAATGATTGGCTGACTTTCAGCCTCAAATTTTATTGAAAATAAAATTGACTTTACAATGTCTTCTTAAATCACAAATAAAACTAACTCTTGTATCTATGATCAAAAGGAAGATTTAAAATTCATTCCTATTTAGTCATTTCAAGTACAAGTGCATGGTAATAATGAGTGTGTATTTATGAAGTTCAGCAAGAGAGCATATTTTTCCCCTATGTATAACACCCCCCCCCCCCCTCTCTCTCTCTCTCTGTTTCCAACGCTGTGGATCAAACCCAGGACCCAAAACATGCTAGGCAAGCACTCTACCACTGAACTACACCCTCAGTTCAAAACAAATTTCAAAACCTAAAAATCCTAAATTTTTTATTTCTGGCCTTCATGTGGTCTGGTTGAAAGAGGAGATGATTTGGTACCAGATGGCTCTGGGAACAAATCCTTACTATCACAGTTATTGTGTAGCCTTAAGGCAGTACCTTAATCATTGGGCCTCTGCCCTCCCCTGTGTCAAACAAGAATGAGAATGTCTACCTTTCACAGCTACAACAAGAGTTTAATAAAATATACAGGAAACATTGAACCCAGTACTTATTCTAAAGGTTGAATAAATGGTGGTCACATTGTAATGATGATCAGATGCCCCCAAATCAGGATGTCAGGGGAAGAATGCAAAAGAAGGCCTTTAGAAATGGAAAAAAGTAATACAATAGACAAAACAATAATTAAAAATGGTCAGGACTGGGAAAAGGAGTCAACAAGTCAAAAAGTCCAAATAATAAAAGATAAGGGCACCCAGCTGAAAAAATGTGTCCATGTAGTACTATTTCGACTTTTGGAATTGTGTTTTCATAAATAAACAAAGTGCCCCAGCAAAGGATGAAAAAAAAATAAAAGCAACATTATGAAAACTATGGGAGAAATGAAATAAGACCAAGCAAATTAGATTAAGTTGTCTTAGAGCCGTAGAACAATACAAAAAAAAAAAAAAAGAACAATATGGTAAAACAAAAACCCTGGGAAGTCTTGAGAAGAAGACAAAAGGAAAACAAAGAAACATGGGAAAGACAGACAAAAGCAAACCCAAACAGACAATAAAGGGTTGGAGCATACGTTTGTTCAAGCCAGTAGAACACACACAACTGTGCTTTCAATTCTGACAGCAAAAGGATATTTGAATAGAGAAAAGGGCACACACGTCTGAAAGCAGTGATTTCTAAAATTCTCAGGTTGAAAAGGGGTGCTTTATTTAAGTATAATATATGTGTCTGTTTCCAAAGGCAAAGAACTTGGGGATTTTGGCATGGATAGACCACGTGCTGTCCTTTCCTTTTAACTTCCCCATCTGGATAATAGAAATGAGAAATTGGATTGTTTCCTCCTCTACCCAATCAGAGAAGGTAAATGTTCACACTGCGGTTATGTCAACAGATATGGTAGACAGCTCATCTAGTCAAACAATCACAAGCATCATTTTGCTGAGAACAACAAAAAGAGCCCCAGCCACACACCGGAGTCACTAAACATACTTTGGGGGGATCAATGCCTTCTCTCTCTATAGCAGAGTAACACGTGCATGTCCCCTTCAAATCTTAAGGCACTGGGAGACTCCTTCCTATTCACTCGTCATTGAAATGAAGCAGCTGCTGTTTACTATTTGTTGTTGTTGTTGTTGTTATTTTTCCCGATTGCTCCAATTCAAAACCCACCATTCTCCACCTTCCCTAGCTGTTACACATCCCTCTGCTCATAGCTCCATCTCTTTGAAATAGAAAATGTCTCAGGAACCATCTGGTTCCGTGCGTCCTTAACGCTGAGGCCCCTCGCCTGCAGCTGGAGGCAGCTCTCTGCTCAGGCTGCAGTGCAGAGTGACACAGGCGAGCGACATCGTCACTGAGCACTAACTTCTGTGACAGGAGGCAGACAGTGAAAACCATTTCAGAACCGCGGCACGGCGTGAGAGAGGCGAAGGTAATTCATCCGTTTCTATATCCAATTTTTGCAAAAATCAAATCTATCCAACCGAGCAAAGGAGGGTGGGGTGTGTGTTTTCTGTAAAAAAAAAACTGATAAACCAGGAGATAAATTCACCAATCAGCTACAAATAAAGTGCAAACACAGAAAGAAAAGAGCCTCTGAGCTAGGAGGAAGTTAGACAGATGATAGATCTCTTTATTTTTAAATGAAAGTCTCATGCACCAGGAATGAAATGTTTTTTGAGATACATATAAAAAGGAGTGTTACATAGGAAGTCAATCGTAGACTAATATCTAGTAGTGGAGGAGGGGCTTTTGTCTTACCGGAATATCCAAGTTGGAAAGGACTTTAGAGACCATCTACTTTGTCATGAATGATCACATCTAATACTTTTCCTTTTTTAAAGGGGTAGCTGCAAAGTTTTGGACAAGACCTCTGCAGGCAACTGGAAGCACAGTGTACCCAGGTGGTGGGTCTCGTCTGTGGCAATATATTTTTCTGTCTGTCCAATTGAATATGGCTGTAAAGGGAATAAAACCCCATGTAATCTCCAGCAGTGACAATTTAATCAGTTGTATGAGGGGGAAAGAAGCAGAGCCCCCTCATTTTAATATATGCATATTTGATTTTGGCGTTAGGGAATGGAGGTTGTTTTTCTATTGCTTTGCATTGCATTTTAATATGTAACCTTTTTTATGAGCAAATTTTGACAGTGCTAAGAATTACTAAGTCAACCAGGTCTGAAGAGAGATTCATAGATTCCATTTCTGAAATGAAGCACTCGAGGTCGTATGCTTTGTGTTAGTATTTTCCCGAAGAAAATGTATGTGCCCAACGTGGCTTCTAGGCTTCCAGCTTCGTATGTGATGCCTCTGCTGTTTATTCTGAGATCCTCTTTGAAAATGAAGGCAAACTCTTGGTGGACAATGCAAAAAATGCCATAATAGGAACCCCTTTCTGTTAACATTTCTTAGAATGGGAAATCTTATAATTGCATCGGTTTCTAAGGAAGTAAGGTTTCTAAAATGCTTTATATATACAGGGGTCAATTTTTAAGGGCTTATTGAGGAGCAATAAATATAATTAAATTAATAAAATTCCACTCTTTGTATGACTGACAGAATGATATTATTGCCTATAATGTAATAATAGATTATGGAATAGATGTTAAGATAAATAACATGCAAGTAATTTGAGCTCGTCATCAATTACTCCTGTGTTGCTCCCATGAGTATATTGAAAATCTCGTCAAAATGATGTTGGATTTGAATTACTGGAACATGGATAGCTGTTTCTTTATGCATCAATGCATGGTAGCCTCTACTTGTGAAAGTCCCAAAAGTATGTTGGGTAATTTTTTTTTTTTTTTTTTAAGGATAGTGCTCTACTTGATTAATGATTTAGAATCTCCTTGTAACAATTGAATGAGCTCTAAAGCCAACATTTCACTGGAGAAGAACATTTTTACTTTTTTTTCTATGTAATTTTATTTTTAAAAAGATTAAAGTTTTGGAAGTTTTGTGTGTTCAATTTCATATGTGTATATATTCCCATACACTTGTACATTGACCTATGAGTATATTTTTAAAAGTGGTCAATATATTGCTGAGCAAATTGTATGAGTAATAATAGAATTTGGAATTAAGAAAAGTCATAGCATTTTATTCAAAAGTGGAGCAGATTGTCTTTTTAATTTATGTCCTTGAAAAGCATACCAGTAGCAGTACCCAGGCAGCATTAGATGACAGGTATACAATCCTTTGGGACTGAGCACCGATTAACATTAAACTCAAGCACATAACATGTCGGGCTTTGAATATGTTCTTGTTTATTTAAATCTGCATTCTGATGATCGCCCTTTCAAAGAGGTTGCATATATATGAATATGTGATCCAATGATTTCATATTCAAATTAATCCAGTTTCTTTGAATATGATCTAATGATTGAATGATCCCCCAGACACTGCAACTCCTCAGGGAGATCTGCTCATGCCTCAGTGTGTTTTCTCAAGGCCTGGAGAGTACTAGATCTGCCCAGGAGTGCCTGGAAGCTCTGGAGCTCTGCTCTACCTAAACAGTCTCGGGCTTTAATCACAATGGCTAGGTTCACACTAAAGCAATTAACCATATGATTGCTTCCACAGGAGCCCAACCTCATCAGCATCTTTCCTTCAGGCAAACTGACAATACAGGATCTAGTCAATGACTCAAGTGGATTCAACTATCTAAGAGGTACAAGTCTCGAATACACAGTCACACAGTCAGACTAGGAATATGCATCCATCCCCAAACCAGTTTTTACAAGTTGCTATTTATAAATCAATAATTTAAATAATTAAGGTAAAATAATTGTTCCATTAAACAATTAAGTGTTGGCAAGTATCAGAATGTAGGTAGAGAATTCCAAATAATAGTATCTGTGTTAGTTTATTGATTTATATGGGAAGGTTGTTTGTTTATCTTGTGGGGGATGGGGGTAAGAGGGCTGCAACTGGGTCATGTTAGTTTTCCAACATTAAAATAGGATTGATTTGGAGAATTTGAAAAAAGGTAAAAATGCCTGAAAAATGGGATTTGTCATCGAATAGGTAACTTTAGAAAGGTACATGCATGTATGTATATAAGTGTGTACCTTTTTAACCTCACTTAAACTTAGGCTTTCACTAGTTATTGCTGGACTTAATAACATGTTAAACGTGAACCTAAAGCTTTCTAGCAACCTATTCTTGGTACTCTAACGAAATATTTTTGCTGGCCTATTAATGGCATTTTTTGGTTACTAGCCCTTGAAATGATTTCTCCCAAAGTAAGCTATTAAAGAATTTTTAGTGTTTTCCAACTTAAAAGCCGGAAATAAATGCCACATCTGGAAGACAGAAGTTTTCCAATGAAATCATACTTTTGTAACACCATGTCATGTATTCTAATGTTCCTCAAGTGTGATAGGCAAGGATTGTATACTCCCAAAACGCTAAACATTTGATGTTACCAGTATGTAGTGTACAGAAATTTGGGAGTTTGTGTGAGTCTGATGATACTTTTTGGGTTGTACCCCCACCTGAAAAGCTGACATACAAATTGCCATGTGAAACTTGTTTAAATCAAAAGATCTACTCCCAAACAGATTTTCATGAATTAGAATCTGACCATTTATTTTATTTTCAAAAAAAAAAAAGAAAAGAAAGTGCATTTATTATATTTTAGGCTTGATGGTATGGGGGCACCTCTTAAATAAACACATTTATGCAATTAAAAGGGAAACTTTTTTGAGAAATATTAGCTTGGTTTATTAGCTTAGCTTATTTTGATTCAGAACTTTCAACAAAGTTGGACAAAACTTTTTTCTAGGTCTTATTTTTAAGCACCCAAATCCAATGATTCCTCTTGTTTAGATATTGAGATGTATGAATAAGCAGTTTATCCAGTGCTTTAAAGAGTGTCCCAATCAAAGCTGACATTCAACCTAACTCCTCATCTTTAAAGCAGATGTTCTGAGAACCTAGATCAGCCAAGAGTGTCTTGGGCACAGGAAGTCAGGCACCTAGGGACCCAGGGGGGAAATGTGACTCTCTCCATTACCGAGAGAGAACATACTAATGGTGGTCCCTACACATGTGTTCTGATTTTCTAAGAGCCCATCCGCTTCCCCTTCCCCCTTATTCTTAAAGAAAAATAGACACATAAATAAGTCTAAAACCACTAGTTAGGGAAAAACTTTTGGCAATGAGGAGTTTAACTGCAGGAATGATCAAAAGATCTATGTGCCCAGACCCTGTGCCCAGAGCTCCTCATTGCAGTAGAGGAGGCTGTGTCTCCAAGCCCAGCTCTCTGCTCATTCTCTTCCAGTCTATTCTTGGCTGTGGATTCCCTTGTGCTCTTTGTACACTTTAAGTTTAATTTTGCATTTAAAAACTCAATTGGCTCATCTGTTAAGCATTAAGCAGCTCCCTTTTGAGCCACAGGGGGAGCCCTGGGAAAACCCACAGCTGCTGGAACATGGAAAATGGGTTTAAAAAAACAAAACCATTTTGGAACTTTAAAGCATTTTAGCAGCCGTGGATTTCCCAATCCTTACCCCCCAAATGGTTCATCTGTTTAACTTTTATCTGGTATTGGAAAACACAAACCAGAGCATTAAATAGCCCTCAAATGACTTTTTGTTTAATACAAAATGAAAGTAAAAGCTAAGCAAGCCATGTGGGGAGATCTTTGGGAGAGCTATGGCCTGAAATACCTACCAGCACTTTCTCCCCCCAGTCTCAGAAGCAGTTCCGCAAGCTGGGCTTGCCGGCTGGAGCCAGGAACTTTTCTCCTATGCACTTAGACAACCCCCCAGCCCCTCCAAAAGGGGGAGAAAAGTCCAAAACAAATCCAAATCCCAGCTTATAAAATGACAATAACCATGATGGGAATGTTAGGAGGCTGGGAGATTAATGAAATGCTCAATCAAGATTTTCAGTTTGGCAATGGATTGTCATTGATGGAAAACCCACGTCTGATTACAGTTGGATAAGCTCAGATAAACTTACATTACTCTTTTTTTTTTTCCATGTTCCCCAAATATTCCTCTAACAAGCATGAAGTCTCCCTGTGGTGGGGCTTCAAGCCCTGGGGTTAGATATCCATTTCTTTGAATCATGGGAAGACATTCCTTCTAAAATGACAATATCCAGTGGAAGGGTGACTGTAAGCTGTTTCTATACTATTAGTGACTAACAGAGGCAAGAGCATTACATGGCCATACAAAATATGGCAACGCTGAGTGAACAGAGGAGATGTAAAAAGAGATGTGTGGACCTTATAATTCTGTCCAAGGAAATTTCTTTGGCCCTAGTGGAACCTAAAAGAAGCAGCTTGTTGTAATCAAGGAACATAAATATGGGTACTGGAAGTTGGAAGTGACACAAGGCTTTAGCACTAAGCCCCAGCTCAGGATTAGCTGGCTGAAGAGAGGCAGGGGAATCCATGGGGGTGGAATGAAATGCCCCTGGGAATTGGGAGAGATACAGAAGAGATTCTGTACTTCCCTTCGTACAGAATGGCCCTGAGCAGACTCTCTAAAATTCTCCTATAGAATTCACATTTTTACTAACCCACTGGGACTGTGATAGTCCAAATCAGAGGAAGAGTCGGGCAACATTAGATTCATGAGAAAAATGAGTAATATCTGATTGCGATTGAATTTTTGTCACAGGATATCTTCTTTGAGGTGTCAGATATTCATTGGGGTAGGGATAGGATAATCAGTTTGTGAAGAACAAGTTCATAGAATGTGTTCTCTATGTTTTAAAATATGATATTTCAAAATCCTCAATTTCAATTTTATTTTGGTATCTCCTCATCTCTTTATGTCCAAGGTATCCATGAACTACATATTTGTGTATGTATATATGATTATATAAATGTAGATATGACATTATAATAGGATTGAATATATTTTGTATATTACTCAAACTTTATAACACTATGCTACAAGAGTCTAAACAATTTCTAAAAAGTGAATATTAATGAAATAGGAAAACAAAATTATTGTGGACAGGGAGTTACACATTCTGTCCTCAAGCCAGACACATACACTGACAAATTCTGAAATGATGAAGAATTTAGATAGCATCTTTGGTTTTAAAGGTCCAGAGAAAACATCAGTTTTCCCTATTGTCAAACTCAAATAGTAAAGTTTCAAACTAAGATAAAAACTAGTGAGAAAATTCTATTTAAATAGCTATTGGAGAAGAGACTATCTTCTTTTTTATATTATCTTAAAAATTTCTTGGGGCTGGGGATGTGGCTCAAGCGGTAGCGTGCTCACCTGGCATGCATGCGGCCCAGGTTCGATCCTTCGCACCACATACCAACAAAGATGTTGTGTCCACCGAGAACTAAAAAATAAATATTAAAAAAAAAAATTTCTTACCAGGGTTACAAATCTTCATTGAACACCTACTAAGTGCAAGTAAAATAGTAGTTGATTAATATGTAATTTCACGTGTTCAGAGATAATGCCAGTGAACTATTTTTTATGGGTTTAATTGCAAGTGTTCAACTCCTACTTGATCCTGTCAGCTAGAACTGCTGTTCCAAGGGAAGTGTCAAGACCCATACACTGATTAAGAACTCAACTACCATGTCAATTAGAGGCTATTAAACTAAATTATAATTTACAATCAGCTTGCACCATGAGATATAGGGCTAGAAAGTGCCATTCTCTATAAGCAAATGAAATCCATTTCAATCTAGCTTAAGCCCAAAAGAGGAAATACTGGTGCACCTAACTGAGAGGGAAAGGCTAGACTCTGACAATGTAATCAGGACCCCTCTTCTTTCCTTTAGCCTTTGGATTATGGCCACATTCTCTGTTTGGTTCTGAAAGTTTCCCCCATATCACAGGAGTCCAGAGTGCAGATGAGGTCATAGTGCATTTAACAGTTTCAGAGGGAGGTGTGATCCTCCTCCTGACTTTAATACAAATAATGGTAGAAAAGGTTTGGATAACCTGCTCAGGTAACATGTCTTCCTCCTGGACCAAGCCCAATAGCTAGGAATGATAGTGCATTATAGCTAGGCTCGAGTCTCCTGCACACTGGTATGTGGTATTATTGAATCTCACAAGAATCAGTTGTGTGGAGCAAAGAAAAATCAGTACTCAAGGACAGAGGATGCACTAGCAAAAAAAAAAAAAAAAAATCTGAGTAGATAAAAACCAAATAAAGTCTATTATGAATTCAAAGGGAGTTTTGGACTTGGATAGTTCCTCCATCCATACCTTATAAACATATAACACATACTCATTCACTCACTCACTAGGAATCATAGACTATTGAAGTCCAAAGTTAATATTTTATGTCATTTGAAACTTTGCATTTTAAAGATGAGGAAAACCCCAAGAACTAATGTCACAAAGTATACTATAGCCCTGGCCTATGCACTTTCTACTAGTTTATGTGATTTCATTATATGATGCACATTCACATGCATATATGTGCATCCATACTAACATATATATAATCAGTTCTAAGTGTTTTCTACATTTCAATTGAAGACACTAAAAAACTCAAAGCTTACCATATAGTCAACAAAAGTTTTGAATAACTCTTAAATTTAAGAAAATTTAAATAAAATCATATTTATTTGTCTATAACCAAGTTTTCATTTTTTTTGTTATTTTTAATATTCACTCATTTGATAAGAAGCATGTATTGAACTATACAGTATTTGGTGGAGTGAGGTTGTGT